CTATTACTGAAGGAGGTGAGGAAGTGAATCTAAACGTCCGTTGCATTTAATGCCCCACAGATTTAAAATGCAAGGAAATTCTTACAAAATAACAATACTTAAAAAAAAAAAGTGTTGATCTAAAAGACTTGTTCATCAGCACACAGGAAGTCTGTGGCAGGAGCCAAGAATAGAGCCCAGCACTTCCAAGCTCCTGCACTAGCACTGCACTCCTTGCAACCACTGCATTAATCAGTGAGCACAACTGTACCAAAGCCTACCTACCTTGGAAGACCAGGCTCTGAGGAGGCTTTCTTCCATGTTACAATAAAAAGTTCCCAGAAACTATTATTTTCTCAGCCCAACATCACTCAGTTCAGCATCTTTCCTTTTCTTCAAACAGAAATGGCCAGTTGTCCAAATGACAGACAAGGAGAAGGGTTTTTTTTTTCAGAGAGGGGGTCCTCTCTCACATAAAAGCAATCCCAATGCTTTTATGAATTCTGAAGCTAGTAAGTACTGTAAATTTTGTTTAAAGGGGTGACAAATTTGGTGAGACCGACTGTTCAAAATCTAGAAAACTGCTTTTGAGTTCTTTATTTATAAAAATGAATTCATGACCCAAATACCCTAGGAGCCTCTTAGGTATCTCAGTCTGTACATCCAAGATGTGACAAGTATTTCAAGATCTGTCCAAAGTAAATCCTGATGCATATCAAATACAAGATTTTTATTAGTGCCTCTACAGTGCACCTAAATGTTGATCTCATATGACAGTGTTGTTAAGGACAAGAAGCTCTGCTAAATAGGCCCATAATATCTTTTACAACAACGGCTGAAGCATAGGACAAAGATCCAGCACTTTACTTCATTTCTGGTCTTATAGTACATCTCTGCTCATTTTCATGCTCATGCCATCTGTGCTAAAACTAGTAAGTACTCCCACCCTCAGGAGTGCACAAGCATACCTGAACTGCCCAGCTTGTTCCACGTAGACCACAACAGAGCTGTCTCTCATTGCCAGCACATGCCTAATTCCCACTGCAGGACAGTTCTGCCTGTTGTCACCTTGGTTTCACCCTACCAAAACCAGTCCCTTCTTGTTACCAGCTGCTCAAGTCTGCTCTGCTGCAGGAACCCCACCACGCTTCCTAGCACACACTTCCCCATCAGAGAGGAATGGTTTGGGACACAGGGATGCAAGGTAAAGGAGAGGGATGATCTTGGTTGTGGACGTTAAATAAACAATTTTTTTTCCCAGCAAACCCTGGTGCCTGTTGTCACCATGTCATGGCCCATAATGACTTACTGTCTACCAAGCATGACCAAGCGATTAGTGCAGCCGTGTCGGTGTATCTCAACAGTAATGGGGGCTCTCTTTCCATTTGCCTTCTATTGAAAGCTAAGCGCTCCATTGGCCTGTGCATTTTCAGCTTGATGAATTCATTATTCCCCACTTTTTTTTTTTTTTTTTTTTTTTAGCTCCTTTCTCAGGTCAGAGCTCTCCCAAAAAGCCAAGTAACTGAGTTTTTCCTCTCTATGAGGGTTGGGGGTTTTTTCTCCCTTTCTAAGCAGATGTCAGAAAATGTGGCATTGACTTATCAGTTTCAAACAGCATTTCAGTATACTTTTGGATCTATGTATATTAGACAGCAAACAATCACAACACTTGGCTTATTTATTTATTTATGTGGTAACATCCTTCAACTAATGATATCGGGGAAAATACATTTTCAAATTCAGAGGCAAGGAAACCATTCAATTCATATTCCCCAGCAAACAAATGATACCACATAAATAAAATACAAAACTATTCAACTATCATTAAAAATGTGACAGTCATCCAAAGTAGGAAATTCAACAATGTGTTGTTGCATTTTCTCTTTAAATATTTACATGGTATGGAGATAGGATTAGGCTACCCTAAGCCTGATTTTCTTGGACATGTTCCTTTTCCCTCCTCAATGGTGTGACTAGTTGAACAGAAGGGACTTTGGCTGTCTGGCATTTCTAGATGTCTGGAGGCATTTTTAGAGCACATTAGGTGAGATACACTCAAGATAGTTATAGTTATAAATCACACAGAGAAATAAAGGCACTTTATATATGAATCAAAGCATATAATATTTTTAATGGATGCAAGTTTTAGGAATGCCTCTCTGCTGTGGTCCAGGAGTCAGAGCAGCAAAGCAACATCTGAGCCTGGAGTTTAGTTCTACTTCTACGACAGGTGTTAGCTTTCTGCGCCCATTTCCTCCATAAAACAAGGATAACCTTTTTCCATATTAAAATAAAGCTATCATTATCTGTTTGAACTGCAGAAGAGCCTAAAAAAGTCTCTTGGATGAGGTCCTTATTACACTAGATGCTGTGCAAACACAGAACCACATGCTATTATAATGTGGGAGTGGCATGCTATTAATAATACATTAGGACATTTTGAAATGATTAAGCAGAAGAGTTATTTTAAAATTCTCATTCATTTCCTCCATTTAAAATAGAATGAAATTTGAACGAATAGGTAAGGAAGCTATTTGCAGAATGCTGAAACATCCTTCTGGTTCTGTGAATACATAAAGGGTTAGTCTGCAGAGTAAAGGAGAAGTAACCAGCAGTGACATGTTCTTTTACTGACTCTGTCACTTATGTTACCTTTAACCCTTTTCAAACCATTTCATTGGGGTTCAACTTATTTGTCACTCAAGTGGATTCGGGGACCTAATATGGTTCAATTAAAGAAGACTCAGCCTAGAGAGGATTTAACTGGGTTTAAGGGCGGGAATCATTATTGCACTTTATAGACCTGGGAAGTAGGGGAAATTGTAATTTATTACTTATGTGCAAATTTGACATTATTGTTAACATATATTCCCCCAGAGCCTTGGATGGACATATTTTGGAAAAATCAAATCAATAAGTGATTTAATATCTGTCAAGTGCTTTGGGATCTTTATTTGAAATGAGTGTTAGAAGAGCAATATCTTACTCTCAACTCCTTAGCGTGCAAGCATGCCTTCTATTAATACTAGAACCCTTTGGAACCATTAGAGTTTATCAGCTAAATACATATTTTGGCACATTAACTAATTTTTGATTACCCAATTAGACTTTAACAGCTCCATCTATCATGTAAATTTTTCTTAATGTGCAGATTATGGACCCAATAGAACTTAATGGAGCTCCTTACAGTGTTCTGAGTCGATGCAGCTGGCACATGGACACCAACGAAAGCATTTGCCTCCAAAGTGAGAATTACACACCTATCTTCCCATGTTGCTAATGGGCGTTATGGCCTAAATCATCCCTGGGCACTGAAACAATACAAGAGTCCCAAATGTGATCAAATTTATACCACTTTATATGTTGGCTCTCACGTATCTCCACTTCTGCCCTTCCATCTCAAAATCACATCCCCTACAGTCAATTGAGTCTCAAGTACACGAATCAAAATCCAGGGCCATCTGGCACCTAACCCATGGTAAACTGTGATAGTCACCAGCAGGCTACCCAGTGGACAGTCATGGTTGTGAGAAGCTGCTGGTGAAATCTGCTTCCCCAGGGCATAGAGAGGCATGCTGGTGAAGTGCCTCCGTGCCATATGCTGCTCGGCACATTCACTCCCACCCCACTGTCTCACAGAAGACAACACTCAGGCAGCCAAACTCAGCCCTGGGTCAGGACTTTTCCTCTCCCTCTTGCATAAGTACTGTGCTATTTATCATGTTGAGTCTTCCCCAATATACTGTCCCTGCTCACATCCCACTCCCCAAGCTCTTTTCCACTATCCGCCTATGGGATGGGATGAATTACACATTTTGTGATGAAAACATGGATGCTTAAGAGCTGCCAGAAGAAAGAACATTACTCGGATCACTGGGACAACAGCTCCACAGTTGATAGTCAGAACAAAGCAGTTGGTAGAGAGAGAAAAAAAATTAAGTAGCAAATCTGCCTCCTTTAGTCCAGAGGCTTAATGCATGGTCCAGGTTTAATGCTAACCATGTTTGGCAGAAGACTGAATATAGAACCTTTGCTCAGAACCCGCAAATAATTAACTGTTAGAAATTAAGTGCAGAGCTATAGGATACATTCTGCTCTGATGGCTTTACACCTAGATCTGACAAAATCACCAGCTACATATGTAAGGAACAGGGGGTTTGGTGGGCTGCCTCCTCTGCTGAAAACTCATCAAACTACTGGTATTTAGAAGTAAGGCAGATTTAAACCAATGAAAACAAAGGCTACATTCATGCTCACAAGAACAAATACTTCCCATGCTAAAGGAAACACTTATAAAGTTATCTAATGCACCGTTAATTGATGTCATTATTTTTTGAATCATTTCTCTCAGCCTATATATACACTGAAGCTAGTTTCAGCCGTTCCCCAGTTAGTTTCACTTTCTTTCTTTCCCTCTTCCTCAAAGGCTGAAAGTACGATACTGGAATGCTTTTATATCACCAAAATAATTCAGTTAGCATTCCTTTCTTACGAGAAATTCCTTTCCTATTGCTTCTGCAAGAAGTAATTTTTTTAAATCTTGTTTCCTTACAATGCTCCTTTAATAAAGCATGATTGCTCCTCTTAAGGAAATAAGCTTTCTTTTTCTGCATATGATCTCACCCTGTCAGTGCTTTCATTATTTTCCTGCACAAAGTCCTTCCCTGATGTCTTACTCGGAGCAGCCCTCATTGTTGGCGGGGAGCACGCGTCCAGCCTGTCCTGCTGCCGCCTGCTTCTGTCAGACGATCCCTCCTCTCTGTCTGGAATGGATTTTGGAAGAGATCTACCTTGAAGGTAGTTTAATTCACTTAAAAAAATCCCCTAAATAAACAGACACACATAGTAATCGCTGCCTGGGAAAATACTAATATTGCTGCTAATGCAGAGCAGAGATTGGGTTAATTCGTTTCTATATTCTGCATCCTGCCAGACAGCCTCCTGACTACCACTCAGAGAAGTGTACTTCTTCTCAGAAGAGACAGTATGCAATGCTTTGCTTAAGGAAAAGGGAGATTTACCCTGCACCGCGGTTCTCAAACAAGGTCCTTTCTCCTTGAGTACCAAATCTTGTTTCCTGTGACGGAGCCCAGAGAGCTTAACACAGAGGCAGCCGGTCCCAAAATCCTGTCATCAAGAGCTGCCAACCAACCCGAGGTGCTCAGAGCCCTGCGTGCTCTGCCTCCCTGAGGAACAGGCCCTGAGCAGGCGTATTTACATCATCAGCTACGTCAGTAGTGAAAGAATAATGTGATTTTTGTGTAAACAATGCTCGTAAAAAATCATAACAACAAAAACCACAGAGCAGCTACTGTTGAGGGGAGAAAATGAAACCTTTTTTATCTATGTATTTAGATGATTACCTCTGCCCTGATAACTTAAGAACTTACTGCTTATTCAGCCCTGTGCTGCAAAAAAAATCTCCTGTGTTGAGATCATACTCTTGGCTTTTTGCTATAAAGTTCACTTTTTTCTCAATTATCACTCTTACCTAACTTATTTTTCCATTTCGTTTCTGGGAGCTGACCTTCCTGAAAGAAACTCTGGGTGCCTGAGCAGGTATATTTCTTTTACTGTGCTTTGGCTGCATGAGTTAAAACAAATGAAGGTATACATTTTTAATCACACATGGGAACACTTCAGCTATGTCAACCTGTGTTCCTCTTTTTTTTTTTTTTTTCTTTTTTTTTTTGCTATTTATTTGCAAACATTACAGGTTGTGCTAAGACGCTCTCTGCTGTTCTTCAGCTACAATGTACATCCATAAAATGTCTGTGTGTTAACTGAACAGCCACAGACTGAACGCAGGTGACGGTACCTGTGCTGCCAGCTCCTGCTCTGTACAGCCATCCATGCAGCTCCAGGGACAAGACGAAGATTAGGCTTGCAGTTGTGTCAAACTGTAGACACTGGTTGTTACGAATCAGTTGTCTCATGAAAGGGACATTCCTCCCTGAAATTCCAGGTACTGGAAATCCATCCCACCACTGCTGCAGCTCGAAGTACAACTGTAATATGTTTGGCATGCAAAGAGTGGTAGGAACCATTTTAAAAGTTTGTCTGATGCTTTAAGATTTGATAATGAGCACAAAGTGTCACCCACTTCTCAGTCAACAGGTTAAATGTGGTCCAGGGGTGATAACTACAGTAATTCCTTTTATGGTAGTTACGCCAAATTTACACTATTCCCACTGAAGTAAGCGGCTCAAAAATAAAAAAACCCCACAACTATAATTTCAGTATTTAAGAGTGAGATTTTTGGGTTGTTAAGCATTACAGTATCTAAGCTTTCAACAGTAATTTTATCACTGAACTCAGAGCACTGTACAGTAACCTTCAGAATCCAGCTGTTCCCCAACCCTGAAAGTGTCTAAATGCAGCATGTTTTTCCATTCTGACTTGAAAGTCCACATAACCTTAGAGCTGCATCTCTACTCACAACCCAATTTATCCCTCTGCAAAGGACTGGATAATGTAACATGCAATATTCACCAAAATCTACCTGGAGCCATAAACTATCTCCTGCCTAAGTCCCTAAGAAGCAGTAACCATGGTGTCAGGCTAAAGGGAGCACTCAACATCAGGGTCAGCATTTGTTCTCATGCAGAAAACAACTCAGTACTGCTTGTGTCCAAAGGCATTGTCTTGTTCCTCCTGTGACAACTTGTTTCATGTAAAATAAAACTCAGAAACTTTCATCAGTTGCTCTCCCTTCTCCCCAAGGCAGGAGGGTGCTCCAGCTCAGCACAGTCTGTTCCTAGAGAATCTTAGCACTCTGTGAAATGCCAAATTGGTGCATAAATGCTAAGCATCATCACTGGACTGACCTGTAAGGTCTTTACTACCTCTGGACTTGGTCTAGTATTTCTGGTGGCCCATAATTACTTTTTAAGTTATTCTCTTTACTGTGGCATCTGCTGTACCATTTAAAATGGGTTTATGGGTAAAACACATAGAACGCAATTATGAGTTAGACATTTTCACATCTCATTTACATATCTTCCATCCTACCACATATCAGACATCACCTTTTATTTCTTGGATTATCATATAAACTTCTCAAGTACTCAACACCTCCTTCACTGTTTTAGCACAGTACACCATACAGTCTTCAGGACACGAGGTGCTAACTACCGCACTGTGCACAATCGCAGTCTCAGTGTGGAATGTCTTGCTTTAATAGAGAAATAAAATGATATAAGGTCATAAGCTAAGACTATCATAAAGTGCATTGCAGGTACCCTATACTTAAATACTCCCATGCTACCTCTTAACTATAAGTGAGGCAATTTGCCTAATGCCTATAGAAGTGACACAATTAATTCCCCTCCCTTAAATAATCCTGCTCTTTCCTCTCTAACATGCCTCTGTAAAAAGAATGTTTACTAAATAAAAACAAATTTTTAGGAAACCATATCCTTAAAATCCATAGCATTAGAAATGCCATGAGTCTAAAATGAAATTTAGAAAGTCCTTTGTTCAGTGTGTTCAGAAAATCACTGGAGACCCCTTTCTCTCTGAAATGGAGATGAAACCCCACAGCAGTGTTATGAACACTCTAGACACACTCTAGACACACAGTAGACTGTATGAAAGTGGTCTCAGCCATAAACAGCAACCTCAGCATCTTTCTGTTCATGTTTCCTGCAAAGGAATCAACAACCTCCAAATTAGTCCTCCAAATTAAGATTTGAACCTTTCTGTCCTGATAGTGCAGCTATGTTAACATTACCATGTTATGCATCAGTGTGGGCTAAGTGAAAAAGGGTCCAATAGCATCACTTGTATCTGAGAGGGTATTATAATTTAAAAAAAATAATCTTAATTTGAACCATTTCCCAGAGGGAAAACATTTGGAGGTTTAGGAGTATCAAAGTACAACATACTTGTGGCCAAGAGTATGGACCTCTTGTAGTACAGTTAGAAACCTGTAAATACAGTACTTATTCCTCAATCATACCTTAAAAAAACAAGGAGAAAAAAAAACCAAACAACTACCTCTTTGTACTGAACTGTACAAACCCAGCCTAAAATACCAGTACCATCATCTTCTGAAGGAAGAATTTTAGTACATCAAGCAAATCATTCTTAAATCGGATCATTGCCTTTCACTGTGTACTACAAATATCAGCTAATAGAAATAAAAGCAAAATTTCTTCTGGAAAAAGTAGGAATAATAACAAAAGTTATACTGTTATGTCACTGACAGTTGTTTCACACAAGAAGGGGAAAAAAAATCTGAGTTACTTCACCTGAAAATTAAACATGGAGTCCCTTAATCAACAAGTGCCAGATAGTAAATAAATTATCTGAAATTTTACTCAGTCAAAAGGATGAGAAAAGGAAAATAAGAGTATGTTGGGTGTATATTCACATTTGCTACTACATCTTAGATATGGGAACTGCATGGCAGTTATAACGTCAAAGCTAACAGTAGGGTCACTACTTCTGGAAATGCAATTACTTTCGCTGTATAGTTTATTATTAAGCAGGATAAACTATGCCTGCCATGTGCAATCACTAGTGAAAATGATGAGCAAAACACAGGGATTTTACGGTGTAAATTTAACATTGGTTCTGCAACTGCCAGGCGAAATTTTGCCACCAACTTCAGCCAGTGTAGAATCTGCCTTCAGATCTTGATAGAAATGAAGTTTCAGTAGTTTACCACACCCAAGTGGATGCTGATTCTTTCCAAGGCCCTTTACTGGATAGAGCTTTTATTTCAGATGAGCAATTCACCTGTTTTGCTTTTCACCCACTGGTAAACAAACCGGGAACATACTACCTTTTCACAACCATGACTCTTAAGCACATGGTCATCAAGGCACAGAAAACTGAGCTAGGAGTGTTGTTAAGATGTCTTGATGCCTTTTGTCCTCCTCTGTGCCCTCAGGAAGGACCGTCTATGCCTGTTTCTGAAAAATTTTCAGCAGTAGAAATTCCACAACAGCCCAAGTTGACTTTCTCCAGTGTTTTATCTACCTTAGGTCATTGTTAATACCTAATCTGAATTTTCTTTGGTTCCGTTTCACAAATTACTTTCCATACCTTCCTGTTTCTCATCATGGCGAATAAATTACTGACTTTCTTTTCCAACAGTCTTTTGTATTCTTACAGCCTGTTGCCATGCTGTCCCTCGGAGATCTCTTTTTCTGGTCAAGTACCCCCAATATCTTCTGTATTTCCTGACAGGGTCACATTTCCTCGCCCTCTTATCACCCTCATTGCTTTTCCTTTAGACTTTCACCAAATTCTCTGTAGCTGATTTGGGGTGTGCTTCCCGAATCTGCGCTTAGAGGTATAGCTGAGTTCCTACCAAAGGCGTGAGGAGCAGAAGTCACTCCCTACTACTCATGGGCTATATTTTGTATTACACCATCATCACTTGTTATCAAGAAAAGTTCTGAATTTCAATATGAACATTTCTTCTGCCAGCTTCACCACAACTCTTAGATTCACTAGAACCTTTAACATTGTAAACAGCATTAAATTAGGACTCACACTTAATTGGCTGTCTTTACTTAGCCTACACCCCAAAATGACAGAACACTTCTGGGTTACTCCGGCATGTTCACAGCCTGAGTATAATTAACAGACACTTAATCTAGTCTGTATACAGATGTGGATGTACAGAGATAAATAATCTACAGATATAATATAAACACCCACACACTGAGTAGGTCTGTAACTGAAAGGTTTATCTACGTTATTAAGAATACCACAACTTTTTCAGCACCAAAAAGAGGGAAAAAAATTAGATAGCTAAATATAACCACAGCTAAAATCAGATTCTGTTCTTTTGTAGTCCTGATTCTACATAAATGTATATGTGGAAGAGACCTTTAGCATGTCTCAGTTCCTGTTCCTCCTCCATGTAAACAGGTTCAACTCCTCTGAAGTCAGCCAAAACATACATATAATGTAAATATGTGTGTTTGTCAATGTGTGTGTAAACCCAGGGTAAGTGTGAGTAGAATAAGGCCCCTTGTTGACTCAGGTCTTACAGGTAATTGCAATAATAGAAAAATAAGAAAACTACTATACTGTAGTTACCTACCATGCAATAAATATGTAATTATACTGTAATTACAGTACCTGATTATTGATGTACTGTACAATAAACGGTTATCAAGGTTTTTTTACTGTTCCTTTCTATTTACAGTCATCTCTGATAAAGATTAAGCTTCCCCAAAAATGCATGATAAAGCTTCTTATCAGAGGTTTTAATGCCTCTAATAACTACTGTAATTCTGTGTGATTTAGTGCTTTGAATAATCCACCAGGATTTTTTCTCTAGATCTTTAAAAGGATTGTAATGTGTACAGAGGTGTCGTAGTGATTAAATTTACAGGACACTTACCAAAACAGTGATAAGACGGGATGTTTAATTAACACATGTACACGTTGTTCAACTGTACTATCATGCAAAAATGGAAAGACCTGAATGAGACCCCTATTTTCCCATCAAAATGTTGTAAAAAAAATTAAACAAAGGATTATCCTCACCATACAATATAGAAGCAAACATTCTGAGGGCAACAGCAAATCCAGGCAGCACCTAAGAGTGGTACCAGCTTAGTGTTGCATACTGGGTAGAGCCAAGGTCCTGGTAGCAGCTGGAAGCTCCAGAGAGAAAGCAAAAAGTAAGTCATATATGGCAGTACATGAGAATTCATCAGCTGAGTTTTGAGATGTCATTCCTTTCACTGGTGGGTAGTTCAAGGACACTGCAGTTCTCTTCAGCTATAATGCCTGAAAATATCAATGCTTTTAAGGCTCATTGACAGAAGTCATTGTAGAAAACCAGCTGAAGGTTACCTTATCAGATGTTTTTAAACTCCATGTCTCAGAAAGGCACACAGGCACTCTAGAAAATCCCTTTTCCCTCCATCAGTAGATTTACTTAATGGCCAAGGCTATCCCTTATTTATATAACAGATAAGTAAATTTAACTAAAGCAAAGAAACGCCCCAGCAGACTAAACCCCAACAGAAAAGGGCAGCAGAGTCAACCATATAGTGAGAAGTGGAAGAGAACCTTTATATCTCTGAGGACTCTTTTCACTTTAACTTCTACTGACATTTTGTCCACTGTGATACTAACAAAAAAAAAAATAAAAAATTGATAGAGAGATCTAAAGGTGTTATCATATACGATCAAAAGACGAAACAGAAAAGTCAAGAAGCTCATGCAACCCATATTCCCATTGGGGAAATAGTCCTTTTAATATTCGAATTGTTTGTACTTTGAAATGGAAATCCGAACATCTGCAAGTGCAGCTGAAGTAGAGTTCACTCGTGGGCAAGTGCCAGGTAGTAACAGGGCATGAGAACAGACTTTGGCTCCATGAATGGAAACATAAACCTCTCCTTTGTAAAAACGATTCTTAATGACCTCAAAGGCCTCCTGGTTTAGTATGGAAGATGAGTGCCACTTTTCTTTAGAATTAATCCCACGTATTTTGTATCACAGTCCTGGCACAGGGCTACAAAGATGAAATCATTCCTTGACCATCTTTACGGCCACGCCTGCTCTGATCCGCAGTGCTATGCGGGGGCACACAAATACTGGAAATGGTGTAACTGCCTTATTACTGTGTTCTGCACAGGCTTTTATACCCTGGTTCTCAGCAAGACTAATTATTCTAAAAGAAGCATCACACTACTGCAATTATCCTGCTCCCAAAACCTGAGTTACATCATTTAGGACACTGTGCTTCACTATTCTGGCACATCCATGCAGCTTTTTATTTTTTGCCACAAAGATTTTTACTGGGGGGGCAAAAAGTTAGCAGGAACAAGCTCAGAGA